TCAACAGCTCTGAACGGCTCTAGCCCAAGCTGTGATATAAACGAATGATATTGGCTATTTTAAAAAGCTTGATATGTCCCGCCCTGTCTTCCGGATTCAGTTAAAATGACATCAACACATAGAGTAACGCTGCGTGTTTCTAAGCATTTCAGGGGACCTTTAACAAATTTATTAAAACAAATTTATGTAAGGTTTGTGCCACTGCTGCTCTAAACTAACAGTATTGGCGATTATCAAAATAATTTTTCAGCTTTCTGTGTTGGGTAGTCCTGTGTAAGCTCTTTAGTAATAGTAGGCTATTTCTAATGCTGTAATATAAATATTGCTTTTGTCTATGAAAGAAAGGCAGAAAAAATAGTCAAGCACTTTATAGTGTTTTTTCCAGATGCCCAATTACAGTCAAAAAGTACCTAAACAATGCCAGCAAGAATGCAAGCAGTTATGAAAAGCATAGGAGGCCATTTTTGTTATTATGTGAATAAATACTATTTGTTTCAGTTTGTTATTTGCCCAATAAATGACAATAACATTTTTTTATTTGTTTGAAGGACATTGGGCAGAATGTGGATCAGTATGTTTTTTGCCAATAAAAAAAAAGAAAAGAAAGTAGGGCTTTTTTTAAAAATCTGATTAATCGAAAAAATATTTGGCCAACTAATTGATTATCAAAATAATCATTAGTTGCAGCCCTATTGAATTTTTTAAAACAATTGTATATTTAAATAATTCAAAATCAAATGTTTAAATTATTAATTAATATTGAATGACACAATCATTTATACTGTTCCAAGTTACAGTTTGAAAGATTGTGCGAAGTTACAGTATCTGAAGTTCACACAAGTGCCTGACCAAAGTCTCATTTGTGGTCAGATTATAATTAAAGTACATTTGTTATCAGATCACTTTGAAGGGATGTTAATAAACTCACTCTTGGTCAGGATCTGCAGGTCTTCTACAGACGGCGCTCCGCTGCTCTTGTCGTAAGGGATCACCGTCGTCAGATACTGAAAAACAGACAAAGGTGGTCAAAAACATAAACGACGGAGTCCACTCTTATAGATTGTTTAATCAATTTTTCAAAAATTACAGAACACGTAAAAAAAAAAAAAATCATAATTCTTTTTGAACAGATGTGTTTAAGATCTGAGAGATTTCTTTGTGCTGATTTGGAGAAAAAGGTTAGGTTGTCCCCGAATGATTTTAAACATGGCAAAATGTGTAAAATGAAGCTGCAGTAGTACTGAAATTTAAAAGCATTATGAATTCAGCCAAATTATTGGATAAATGAACAGACGAGGGTTTGTGTAGAGCTTTGAAAATGTTCCAGTTCTACTGAAATCTATGGAGATTTCTGCGGATGTAGATTTTGTGTGGGCTTGCTAATGAGTAATTAGCATCCTTACGGTTCCTGGCACATGCGAGCGGTTGGATCTCTGTTCGGCGCCTGTGGTCTTTATCTTCCTCTTTTTCTTCAGCAGCTCTCGATGTTCTTTCTGTCGGTTCTGCACGTGGATGAGTGCCGAGATGAACGTGTTCTTCACCTCCTTCTCATAGTCCAGCTCCTCCCTCACTGCCAGCTGATCGATCAGCTCCTCAGAGAAACCACGGATCTGTCGCTCCACCTCCTCCAGACGCTCCAGCAGCTCAGACATGCACAGACCACGCAAGCCTGAGACAGAAACCAGCCAAAAGATCAAAGTCTGAAGTCATTCAAACACAAGCTCATTTCTACTTCTACAGCACCGTTATTTCATAACACGCTCATTTCGACACTCCAGTTCTGTCTGAGATATAAAAGATACGTGTGAACTTCCAACATAACAGCCCTCAAAAGTACTTAAACAGTTACCATTTTACATTTGGGCAAAATAATCTGATTAGACCGTTAGCATCTCGCTCAAAAATGACCAACGAATTTCGATATTACCTAGCTGGGGACTATTTTCAGGCGCTGCGTAATATCATTGCGCCTGCTGCACCCATGGTACGGCAGCAAATTTCCTTGATTATTACGCCGGAATGAGAGTATAGTTCCTAGCCATATCGGCCTAGAAAATCACAACTTTTCATTTTCCGTCGGACTTAGTACACGATGTAACTACAGAAGGGTCAAGTATTAAATAGGAAAAATACCGAAACTATTTGGTCATTTTTGAGCGAGATGCTAACGGTCTAATCAGATTCAGTGATCTATGCTAAGCTACAGCTAAAAGAAAGAATCACAGCCTAAATATATGAAACCTGACCACTAATCTACCACAACATCGCGTTATTTACTCTGAGCAATTAAAACTGGAGCGAGTATATTTATAGAAACGTATTTACTGTGTAAAACATATGAAATACTATGTGACATATTTCGCGATGTTATAATATGGTGAGTATGTTTTTGTCACTCACTCGTCGTCGCGCAGCAGCTCGCGCTCGCTCACTGAGACGCTCGTGCACGCGCTGCCGGAGTACGGGAAGCTCGCGCTCAGCGTCTCGTCGAAGGATGCGAAGCTTTGGGTCTGCGGTGAATTCTCCGGTGCCGCGGTCCAGCTGCTGTGCGAATCAGCCGCTTTGAATTCGTTAAAATCCTCCCAGTCTTCATCGAGCGGAGCGACCGGGGCCGCCATGACGGTGGCGGACGACGGTACACAGAGAACGCGCACGCACTAGAGGACGGAGGGGGCGGGGCGACGCTGCCACGCAAACACGCACTAGAGGACGGAGGGGGCGGGGCGAGTACACAACAGTTATATTAAATTGTAATAATATTTAGCAATTTTACTGTTTTTTTTTTTTACTGTAATTTTGATCAAATAAATGCAGCCTTAGTGAGCACAAGATACTTATTTAAAAAAAAAAAAAACTACAAAATTCTGAACAATAGTGTATAAAATAAGAGTGATTTAGACTCACACACACAAAAAAAAAAACCCACAAGAACACATTGAAACAAATTAAGATATGGTTACTTGATTTTTTCCAGACTGTTCCTTAAGAGAGTGTCGCACTAACAAAATAAAAATCTATCCTTCTGTTAAATTATGACTAAACAGTGCAACTATTCATTGGCACAAAAACTTCAGTCACATCGGAACAGTGAAAAACTTGTTTGACAACAATTGGGCTTTTGTAAGTCTCATTCTCTAGAAATATTGCAAAGTGACAAAATAGTCTCTGTTCCTTATACCAAAGACGACGCTAGTTTATGCATTCATGACTCAATTATACGTACTGCACTACTGGCTGAATGTCCAACAGCCTCAAATAAGATTAAACTGTAACTAAGTAGTTAAATAGCGTTTCAAAAATGTTTAAAGCCAACATAAAAAAGCAGTCACAAGACATTTTATTTCTGTAACATGCATTTCAATATGAAACGGGACATTCAATTAGAGCACATGTATATAAAAAAAAATATATTTTTTTTTTTAGAGTGGTATTTTCTTGTTATTGCAATTATTATAATTGTTATTTTCATTACCATTAAATTTTTTTTTTAAATGACAATATTGTATATTTTCCACAAAAAAAAATATCTGAAATTGATAACATTATAAATATATATTAATATATTTGTATAATTGTCTACATGACAGATATTTGGGAGTCAGGCAAAATGTAAAAATTAATCTTATTTTAATTTTTAATGTTTTTTAAATGCATAATACACACACAATGAGACCAGGAATGTGTATTAAGTCATGCTGATTTTAAGAACATTATTGAAACTTAATAAACTCAGATTATAGACGCTTGTATTATCATCAATGAATCTGAAGAATGGAAGCTCTAACTCTCAGTGTAATTACACTTCCCGTTTGTTCTGTGATTGGATAGCATGTGTGTACCATTGAGGCTGTCCAGCTCTTGAGCACCCTGGAAGGGTGCGGGTCCCCAGATACGGACTGTGCCGTCATCAGAAGCGCTGGCCATAAGACTGGGAATACAGGGGTTCCAGCTGACACAGTTCACTGTGCGCGTGTGTCCCGTCAACTCCACGATCGGCAGCTCGCTGCGCTTGTGCCAAATATATACCTTATGATCTGAGAGACAGCAAGATTGAGTGAGAACGATTCATATGAAACGCACCTGAAGAAGCTGAGGAAACCAAAGTACCTTCACTGCCGCTAGCGATGAAATCCTCGTTGTGTCCACCGAAGCAGGAGTGAATGGTGTAGAAACCCTGTGTCACACCCTGATACTTCCTGACCAACACACGGTCCTGTAGATCCCAGAGATGAACGCCCTGCGTTACGAACAAACATGACATTTGTTTAGGACAACAGTGTACAACAATGTCATTTAAAGATGGTAAATAATGGACGGAAAACATTATTGCAATACAATTTAATTGCAATATATTCTTTAAAAAAAATGAAAATTAATTTTAAAAATGTGAAAAATTATTTTAGGAATTATTAATAATATTCTGTAATTATTATTTAATTATAAAACATCACACAATTTGACCTAAAAATAGTAAATATCATAAGAGTAACACTGCTGCAATAAAATAACACTATTCTCAAAAATAATTGTGAAGAAAATAAATGAATTTGAAAATTCTGACATTTTATTTGAATAATTAACAATAATTTTGAACAATTATTATTAAATTATATATATATA